GATTTAAATGCAACTTTTCTAAATAATTGCAATGCATGTTGAAATGTTCTGGTCCTGCTAAAGTGCCCCTTGTACGATTCTCTCTGTTACATTTTTAAAATTTTAAATGTAACAGGGAGCTAGCAGGTTAAAGTACACTTTAAGAAGTAAAAGAATGTGTCAACCTTTAAAGAAACACTTTGTGCCTTTCGGTAAGAACACTCTGAAAAGGCATTTTAGGCCAAAACAATCCATAAAAACAGCTTGTAAAGACCTAAAGAGAGTGATACCCTCTCCCTCCTCCAGCCCACTGAGCTACAGCAGATGTGGATGATCTGTCCAGTAAGAAGAGGATGATGGTTTAATAACCAGACCCACCTGAAGGGTTTATATATATGTTGCTATCACAGAGCCTCTGTCAGACTGCCCTTGGACAAAGTTGAACCTCCGGACCGACCCTGAAGTCTCACAGGAGCTGGATGAGTGTAGGAGGCTTCATGTATTTATTATTCTAGAGATGTATTACATGTCAGGCTTATTTGTGTGGTCTTTAATCACGACTACAGTGCTGGCTTCATACCGCCCACTCTCAGACCAACGGCTAACGTCAGCCTGTGACGACAACAACTGAAAACAGCAAGAAGTTGTGGATAATGAAGAAGGAACCCATCGCAGAGAGGGATCCCCCTTCAAGGACACTGCAGTCGGGCTGAGCGAGATTAATATCTCCAAACATGAGACGACCTGTCAGAGATAAATACCTGTTCATCGGCATCAAAACATCCGCTGGAGACGCACAAAGACAACTTATACTCATGTTCAAACATCTATTTGATTGTGAGAGCAAGATGTTACATTCAGGCTACTAAACAGTATTTAGTGGATAAAATCTACCTTTCAAACAACTTTTAATGTAACGTCTCATCCCCAGTGGATCTCGAAGGTCTGCTGTGTGTTCATGTGTCAGCTGCAGCCGACTGCTGACTAATAACACATAATCGTTGACTCCATAAGTGTTGACTCCAACCGTTGATGTCTCCTCATCAGTCCACTGGCTGCTCTCGCTGAGTGAAACCTCACAGCTGCCGGCTGATATCATCGCGCTGACAGAGAGAGTGTGTGTGTGTGTGTGTGTGTGTGTGTCAGCGTGTCGCAGAGAGGAAGGAAGAGGATGTGCAACACACACACCCAATTAACACCCCGGCAAGAGGGTCACCTTAAGGGTGAGTACTAATTAGCAGCATGGCGGGAAAATTAATTAGACTTTAATAAATACTTTGCCGAGTCAGTACTGAGCGGACCGGAGTCGTGTTTGTGTCCGCCTGATGAGTGTAAGTCAATATCAGGTCAATAAAGTCAATATTCACTGTTTCAGCTCTGGTTTTGGTCTCCGCCGACTCCTGAGTAAAGTATCTGTCTCATTAGCTTCTAAATGTTTCACTCTGTTCAGCAGCTCGTCTCTGACTGCGTCCGTCTGCTGTTTGCTGCGGGGAAGGTTGTGTACAGTGGCTTTGTTATTCAGCCCCTGATTAAGACCTACACACAGTAACAGTCTTATCAGGAGACATGGTGTGATTTAGAAATAACCTGCGTCTGTGCGACAACCGAAGTCTGTAGTTTACTTATATTTACTGACATTATCCTTCAGCCTGGTGTGTGTCTAGCGGTTTTTAGACAAGCATAAAGGTTTAAAATATCTTTTCAGTACTACTTCACCGTTTCCCTCCTGTTTAATGCTGAAAACTCCACCTCTTTGAAATGAAGCAGTTCACTCAACTCACTCATACAGTCAGTCAGCTCACCTAAACACACCGTCTGTAAATCATTCAGGATTATCGGCATCTTCCAGCTCACCGACTGACTCATTAGTCACAAACCTATAAAGGAAACGTCAGCCTCGTGTTTACGTCAGAGTTTTGCTGTTGAACTGATGTTTCCATCCATCCTGCGCTGAGAACAAATCACCTCAACGTCGATAGAGAGGCCGATCGATTGATCTGGTGATTGGTTGAGCCTCAGCACATTGCAGCGTCAGTATTCATGAGAATAACACCGACTGTAAAACGAGCTACTTGTAACCTTATAAGACCAAAAGTATGTAGTATGTGTCTACAGTTTGTGTCTCTTCCTGTTTTAAGCCTCCGTGTATCACCGTGGTTCCCAACCTGAGGGTTAGGACCCCCACTAGGGGTCGCCAAAGCTTCACAGGGGGTCGCTTCAAGGGCCTTCTTGATTTGAATGGGTGTAAGAAGACTTTAGATTTATATAAAGGAGGCTTATATTTCAGCAGTTCCTCCATCTCTTTGAAGAAAACTAAATTAAATTGTTACTTTTAAAGGTTTAAACTTTCAAGACTTGAACTGGTCAAAAAGTTATCATGTTTGTCTTTTATCTGTTGTTTTTAAATGTCTTCTGCTGCGTCTACCTAATGGGAACAAGTAAAGTAACCTTGAACCTTGATTTAAGAATCTTCTTGTCAATCCCCTTTAATCCCTGCGTCAGTCACTATCAGTCTGTTTTTAAGGGTCTGTCTGTTGAATGACGGTAAACTGAAACTGTTTGTTGTTATCTCGTCTGTTCCACAGCCTCTCGTCCGGGTGTCCACATACTTTTGGCCATGTGTTGTATGTGTCAGCAGCCGCAGCTGGTTGGTGTTAGAGCGACACCCTGTGGCCAAAATACTGAACTGCATTCAAAGAGTATATATATCCCTCTGGTGCCAGCTTCCCTGTTTGAATAGAAGTAACTTTTAACTATAATCATCTTTTAAAGTTTCTAGATCATAATTCACCGTTCACAACATTCACCATGCTTCGTACATAGTTTACATGTTTATCATAACATAATTATAGAACTAAACGTCGTTTGGAAAATCCTTACGTTATACCGAATCTTACCAAAAAGTGGCGCTGTGGCTCCATCAAACATTCAGACATTTATACATGAGTTTGTAACCCAACTAATCTTAGACACAAAAGCATCAGACAAACATTACATTTGCGTCCTTCTTATGCTGGATGTTAATATGTTAATTAGGAGAAGAGATGAAACTTCATCTTAGTACTTAATCAGGACTAAAACCAATATCAATGTAAGAGTTGTTTCTGCTGTAGACTGGAGCACAAGGGCTTATCAGTATGGAATGTCGGGGCTCCACTTGGCTCGCTCGTAAATAACTTCTTTAAAACAGACAATGACAGTATACCCAGATGTGAGATCCAAAGGAGTTTCTTCTCTGGAGGTAGATGTCAGATG